TCCCATTTCGGTCGCGATCCGTCCAAATAATTCCCAATTAGATATGATCAAAATTCGTGAATTTTTCGCTTTATGATAATAAACGTTACCGCGTTCAATTTTCGCGGTGCACACGCGACGCGAAAAAAAAAACTGGGCATCCCTCGAAAACGGGCTAGCCTTTAAACGAGAATTCGCCGCAACCCAAACAAAGTTGTTCCACCGGCAAAATTGCAAATTAACCCTTTTCTCCGTGGGGAGTCGGTCTCCGCAAAGTAAGTTGCCTCCTTTCGCGGCCGCCCGTTGCATATCGTTCGAGGTCCCGGAAAGAAAAACGACCAAGTCGCGAAGTCACCGGGACGACGCGATGCCGGCGGACAGTGTCGGTGTTAACTTAGGACAAATTGAAAGCTCGAGTGGCCGGCCCGACCCCCAATTTGTCTTCCCGTTTGTCTACGTGCCCTACGTTTACCCGAAAGAACGACCAACTCATTGTTCGCTCGTTCGAAGATAAAAAAAAAACACAGAGAGAGAGAGAGAGAGAGTTGAACGTCGGATCAATTCTCGACTCCGCGGTGAAAGATGCGGGGGCGTTTCAACGAATATCAAGAACAATGCGGAGATAACCACGGTCTGTGCGCTTACGCCTTGAAACAATAGCGGTGTCCTGCGAACATTATCGCACGTTTTGAACGGGCGTTGATTCTTATCGCGTCTGGGTACATGTAACCAAGTGAATCCTCGCACGGATAACGTCAGAACTTTCCGGGATATATCGTCCCTCCCGCCGGAGCAATCTCGAACTCGCAGCATCCCTTTGCCTCGCCCCTCGTTCGTTTGAAGAAGCTCGATGCAATACGGAAGATCGTTTGTGGTCTCCTTAATTCTGCATTAACAACCAAGTTTCCTCGAATGAATTAAATGGATTAAACGAATGGAACGAGAAACGTAATCTCCCTCCCTTTGTTCAAATTGCATCGTCGTTTTTCTTTGTCAAAGATCGGAGATCGAGCCAATCCGTTGTTTAACTTCACCAAGAGAACTGGTTTCTTCTCCATTGAAATTAAATTGTATCACCGACGAATTCAAACGCGATTCATTGTTCCTATCGCGGGAATATTTTCCGTTACGCATTTACGTCGGTCAAAGACGCGAGCCTCTCGACGACACAAAGCAGGCAACGCGCAGTAGGTGAGTGCACTTACGCGCTCGATCCCGAGATTGGAAATTAATCGATTAATTAGCAAGCTGTTACGCGGCCTGCTCGGCCCCCGCGCAGAAGTAATTCGTTTCGTCCTCTGCGCGTTGCGTCCTCCTCCTCCTCCTCCACCTCTCGCCGGCAATTTCACGCACAGATTGCTTTTGAATCGAATAGTGTTTTCGAGAGTGGAACCAGCCGCAGTACCAGACGCCGTTCGAACGAGCGTGTTACGGCCCACGCTGTGTACTCCTTTGCCTGCTGCCAGATAAGCAAACGGGCCGGTTAGTAGAACGGGTCAACGCGTGATCAGACGAGTGATCGCAGTTTCGAACGTGAATTTATCCGCGACACGAGAGAATTATCTGCGTAATTTTATTTTAATTGCGGGTGTTAATCTGACGTGATTAATTTTTACCCGGCGTATAAAATCTGTGACGTCGCTCGGTTGTTCGGCGGCAATCATTTACTCGGCGATACGAGTTGTTAATGAGAGAGGCGTCCGCGAAGACCGTGGAAAAACAGTTTAATTAGCGGTAATGCCTTTGAACGCGATGGGGGCGGGACGGGACGGGACGTAATTTAAAAATTACATCGGCGCACGTATGCGCGCGGTCGACTAATCAGGGGATATTTAATGGTGACCCGCGGCCGGAAAAACGCGATGCAATTTGCAAAATTACCGGTAATAATATGGAGAGCGGAGCCGGGATTTTATCGCGATCGAAATCCCCCTTCGCGAGGAATGGGAATTGTTGTTGCCGGGGCGCGAGGTACCGAGTAATTAAACGTGCCATTCTTCAAACGATACGGTCGAACGCATCTCATTTCCAGATACGGCCTTCAAATTAGTCCGGGCGACTGTGTTAAAATAATCGCTCGCCTTTTAAACGTCGCGAATCCGCGTCTGCTGGTATCGTCATTATGGTAATAAATAAATATCGGGTCGTTGACCCCGTTGAATGACTCAAAGAAATATCGGAGATCCAGCGGGTGAAAAGTTTTCGATGACCGATCGAAGCTTCGATAAAACAAAGTACGACACGCCGTGGTCGTCGTCGCGTCGTCGGTGGGATTCGTTACGGTGACGGTGCGCCGGGGTGGTTCTTGTCGCAACTTTTTCCGCGAAGAAATGAATCACTGCGGCCGTCGCAGCCATTGCCCACGGCTCATTTAACATGCTAAGAGGTACTTTTCGGAAACACGGCTGCTCCCGGAAGTCGTCCCGGACGCGGAATTCCACCGGGCGGCAACGATTTTTGTCCAGTTTTTTCTACCATTCAGTCGTGCGCGACGACAGCTTCGTTTTTTCTCCTCCACCCCCGCTTGGACGCTCGTTCAGCTTTTCCCTTTCTGATCGTTAATCGGCCGATAATTAGGTCGATGCTTCACGAGAATCTACTCTCGTTCCTCGACACGCTTTTCAATCGCTCCATAAAACTTCCTATTGCTGGCTTTGCCCGTCGTCGATAGCAAAGCTCCTGCGAACGTAAAGAGATGAATCGATCGGCTCGAAGAGAATCGAAGACACATTACTTGGGTGTTAAATGTTTAACGATATCGTTTACGGACGGGAAACGCACGGGGCGTGTATTAAACGACGCCGTTTTTAATTCACGAGCTTCGAGATAAAGAGTCTCCGTATCGGCCTTTCAATTTATTCTTGGTGCCTCGGTTATTCATGGCCGAGAGTAGTTTAAATTATAATTAGAACACGGAGGATCTGAAGTTTCTTCACATTCTTAATAACGTTTTGCATAATGCATAGAGTCACCATGTGTGTCACGTGCGACGTCGGGCGTTATAAAAAATTCAGCGGAACGGGGCAACGGCGGCAGTTGCTCCGAGCTTCTTTTTACGTCCTCGTTCGCGTTCGCGACTCCGCAAGAATGTCCATAGGGACGCGGGAAAGGAGAACGAATGGCTTATTTCAGATTTTAAGATTAACATTAAACGGCGGAAAGTTTGAAACGGTCGCGGCGGCGGCGGCGGCGGTCGCCGGCTGGGAAACTGTTCGGAAATTTTACACGGCAGTTCTGCGGAACGCATTTACATTTCCGTCGGAACACATTCGAGCTCTGGCAACGTAAATTGCATTTCGGACTACCGAGCATCGCTACGAAATTAGCTCTGATCCTATTCCGGGGCCACGTTTCCCACTTCGCCGTCCGTTGATTTTATTAATCGTTTCAATTAAAATTAATGACGGGATTAACGCAGCCTTCCTCCGGCATCCGTAACTCCGACTTCAGAAACTATCGGTCAGTTGTTACAGTTGGCATAATTGAGTGCTCCTCGGTAACTGAGGCATTCGATTTTAACGCGGAAGAAATATCGTTAAATAAACGAACAAGTTTTAACATACGTTAAATAATAAGTAAAAGTTGTGTCAGGTTTCAAGCCATACAAGGCCAAAGAGATTAATAGACGAACGAGAAAAAAAAAAACCTAACTCAGATTTACAGGACAGAAATTAAAGGGAGACAATCGAATAACGGATATGTTCGAACGAAAACACGCGGTTCGTTTGGACTTTCGATATGAAAATTGAAAATCTGTAACAGGCACACTCGCTCATTCTCTCTCGAAATAGAGATCAACTTTTCAGTCCTTTCATTAAAACCAGTTATTCAATCCGAGCGATCAATCGATCGTTGTCGGTATCTAAAAACCATCGAAACTCTCCTACGATCTCACCGACAAATTCCACGACGAAGTTTCCAGTTGAAAATTGTTTGGTATCGGTTCATCTACATTTGTAGAAAATAAAAAAAAAAAACAGAGAGAGAATAGAGAGCCGAGCGAGCCTCTGACTCAGACGCTTCTGATGGCATCGAGCGTGGAATGCAGGTATTGAAAGAGCATAGATACGACAGGGATTCGATGGGTAAAGAAAGACAGACAGACAGACAGACAGATAGCGAGTGCCGTGTGCTTTCACCCTCGCCGTAGAAACAAGAGGCGCAGCCAAGATATTCCAGTAATTTCAGTCGTAGGAATATTCATGAGCAGCCACGGCCGAGTGTACTGTTCCGCTTCTATTCACCGTTGCAGATGGGCCAACCAGGGTCAGAAAGCTTGCTTTACGAAGCAGGAAATCCATGCAGATGAGAGCCGGCTAAAAGGAGAAACGGCGGGGGAGATGGAGGGAGGAATGGACAGGTTCGGGGGCGGCGTTGGAACGGCTGAAACAGCGAAAGAGACAGATTCGACGTGGCTAACCGGCCGGCAGCCACGCTTCAATTAGCCAAAGTGCAGCGACAAAGCTGCTGATGCGACATCGAGTACGCGGACGCGCTTCGTCCCGATAAGAATGGAGACACGTGCCTGCCGAGGCGAATTCCCAATGAACGGGAAGGTTGCTCTTTTCAAGGCCCGCTCGATTCCCACGTATCACAGTCGCCACGGATCTCTAAAGATTCTCCGAGAATCGTTACTGATGTTCTACAAACGTAGGCTTGTCAGGACGGTTCAATGACCTCCGGTTTTAATATATTTAGTAGACTCAGTAAAAAAAATCCTAGTCTCGTTCGATCGTTTTAATGTAGTGCACCGCTTAACGTAGAGATTTGTCGACGACGCGGCAAATACAGAGCGACGACGACAACATAATTTAACAGGAATTACGAAAGATTATGTCGTTTACGTACACGCGACGATATTTTCCCATTTAATAAGACGTAAAGCTCTCTGCGAGCTTTGTAGGTTGGCTCACCCTGCCGGAACCGAAGGGTGGATTTGTGACCGGGAAAAAGAACACTACGACTATATGTACATGCTCAGACGAAGGGTTAACCGCGTTGTTTGTAAATTTTTGTTCTAGGCCGACCCATGGTTCATCCGCCTGGTCAAACAGTGACGGCGAAGGAGGGCGAACCGTTGAAAATCGTCGTTGAATTCTGCGCCGAGCCTAAATACACCAAAGTGCTCTGGATGTCCGAGGAGAATGTCTATGTACCTGGTGCGCCCGCTAGAGACGGCGTCCAAGCGCTCGACGTCGAGGTAAGTCTTTCACTCGTTTACAATTAAGCACGAAGAAACCCTGGCAATGTTCCTTGTTTATTGTGTAATTTATATCTGCAAGTTTTCCTCATGTTACATTCCGATTACATAAGAAGACCAAGTTCGAAACGACAAGCCTTTCGCTCGGGCGTCTCGGGACGGTAAGAAATTCTTGTAACAATCGTGAAGAAAGCGAACGCAGTGGTCGGAACAGGGTCAACGAAGGGAGTGCAATTTAACTTTGAGAACAGTCGGATAGGTAGTAGCGAGTGGGCAATTCCCGTTCTCCAACAACAACAACAACGACAACAACAACAACAACAACCGGGGAACAAGAGTAACAATGAATTCGTGGCGCGCGGAGAGATGAGAATTATACTTTTATCGCGAAAGAGCCAACCGAAGCGTGATTTCTTCTCGACGGAGAAAGGAAAGAGAGGAAGCTGGGCTCGGTCAGAGACACGTGGAACGCTTGTTGCACACCGTGCAAAGATATAAGGGGAAGAGGGATGAAACGCGATACCGGATTCATACGCGGTGTGCCCGCCGCTTATTCCATTTCTGCTCGGTACGCGCCTTTATTCGCCTTTTTCCATTTTATTCCCGACCGACGGCCAGAGTCTAGGATACTGGATGGCTGCACAAAAGACGGATTAACCGTTTTCCCGAGGAATCAGGAATAACGATGAAACGCGTGGAAACCGGGAACAGAGACCGAGGGAAATGGGAATCGGATGCGCCGCCCGGAGAGAGCAAAGAATTCGACGTAGCTTTAAAGGGATTTGCTAATATACCCGCTCCACGTTTATTTTTATTAACTTTTAATCTCCTTTTGTTCGACGCCGGGAGAACGTTCTTAATTCGTTTCAACGGAAAACCGATTGTACTCGTTAATTCCGTTCTCGATCTTTTCACTTCCCCCGTCGTTCCTCCGTCGTTTCACATTTTTCCATTCGTCGTTTCGACGAGCTGCACGACGCACACTTACTACAATTTCGTTGCAAGTGACATCGAGATCTGAACGCGCAACTTTAAAAGACAAAAGTACGTTGATCTGTTTGTATAATTAGCCGCGGGATACGGAATTCCTTCGTTTCTGAACGCGACGCGGCGGGCTTATTAATTTTTCGTCGACGAAAGTTTCCGAGCAATAGTCGGCGGCTGGTATCGACACAGTGCATTGAAAATAGAATCTGGGTGAAAATAACTACGTTCACCGCAACACGTGCACGACCCGATCTCCGAGGTTCGCTGGTTCTTCGACCCCCGCGCTTCATCCACCGCTCCCGGGGAGCAGAGAGAGAGTACGTAACTCTCCGTCGAGGAGGAGCTGCAATTCCACGAATTAATTACCCGCCACTGCAGTCCCGGATAACAAGAGATATAGAGAAACGGAATAGAGGCAACGAGACGGAGTCGACAGGGGGGATGAATCACGTACTAACTACTATCAGTCGCGCTCTCGACGACCGTCGCAGAAATTTCGCTTGCAGTTCGCCGCTGCGGGGGTGGGAAACTTTCGATGAAATTTCCGGAGATCGACGGTTCTTCGACGAACGAAAGCAGCTTGAAATCATGGCGTCATCGCTAGAACTATCAAAATGACTTTATAAAAAGCAAGTAGTTCCAGTGTCAAAGAGTAGAGAAAGGTCAAGAGAAACACGACTCAGTGGCGAACGAGTCGATAATTAAATAGTTTCCCATAAACGAGGAAGGAGAGTGTCGAAACAGGAGACGAGGACTGCGTAAGGAAAGCGAACGGAAAGTAAGGAGGATTCGGTGTGGAGGTAGCTCGGGCGTCGAAGAAATTGAGATCGAGGTCTCGGGTGAAACGCGGGGGTTAAATGGGGCAAGAAACTGCGACTGCTTGCACGCGAAAAATTCGTGAGATTACGAACGACGTCTGCTTCGAATTGTGGCACGGTGATATCACCGGGAATCAGATTCAATTACGTAAATGTATATATTCCTCTTTCCTCTTCCTCCTTTTTGCTCTCGGTCTTTCTCCTGTTTAGTTGATCGAATGTAAATTAATTAAAAACCTATTGTTCGAATGCAATTATAGCTTTTTTGTATCGTCGTATCGTTTCCGATCCGTTACTTAATTTCATGATGAATTCGCGCTGGTTTCGCGCGAGTGAAAATTGAATTTAGAACTCTGTTCGATTGTGCCCCTCGTCAAAATTGGACAGTTTCCTTTCGATCGAGCTCGCTCTTTATTTTCTTCATCCACCGACCCGTAGAATCAATTATCCCATCATCAATTCTAAACTGTACCGATTCAGGACTCTATCAGGAATTGGTAGAAGAACCGGGATCAAAGTAGGGGGAGAGAAGTGAAAAATCCATTGAAAAGAGAGAACCGGAGACGGGAAAACTGTAGGGGAAAGAAGAAAAAACGACGGAAATGAGAGGTGATACGGGCAATTGAAGCGAGAATGCGCCGCGACGCAGGAAGTTTCAGGCTCTCCGTGGAAGTTTCGCGCGGGAGTTTAATCGTAAGCAGAATCGCGACAGATAAGAAAGACTCTCGCGGATCGACATTATCGGGTTTGCGAGTTAATGAACGGGATGGGTGGGGCGTAATAAAAACGGTTGGCCGTGGGCAAAAGATCGAACCGCTTCGGAATCGTCGCATTTAAACTCCGGCGAGAACCGATCTTCTTCCTACTTTCATTTCCATTTATCTCTCTGATTTCATTTACGTACACACAGTGTCCGTCGGTGTATGCTTTGTTTTAATCCCCCCCTGGCCTGGTTTTCGTTTCACCCGTCCGCTTCGCATGCCGCTGCACGCAAACACGAGAACACGTCGCAACAGACACGCACGCACACACGCTTCTCCTCCTCCGAAACTCGAATACGTTGACGAATGCTCGGCACGCAGACTTCTTGGTGGATCGGCACCGGATTCATTAATGGACGCACGTCTCTTACTATTTACCTTGCAGGACGGCGGCACGGAGTCCTGTTACAGAACGGTGCTGAACTTCGACACGATCCAGTGGTCGCACGCCGGGGAATGGTTTCTGCTTGTGCGATCGTCGGAAGGGATCGCGGACGCTTCCGTTCTGTTGAACGTGACACGGGCCTCGGAGTACAGTCACGCTCACTTCCGGTCAGCGAGTCTCACCTACCTATTGCTGTGTCTGGCCGTGATCGCCCTGCAGGACCGTCGTCGCTGAGACGTCTTCAGTTCCGACGTCTACAGACGCGGGTCGTTCAATGGGTCATGGGAGACGAGCGAATTTCCCTGATTCATCAACAATAAGCTTAGGGCGTAGGGGGAAGGTTCCAACGGCACTTGGATCACTTCGCCGGTTGTAAATAATAACTGTGGATTAAACTGGAGGAATAATGAGCAGAGAGCCAAGGGGGGGTGGTTATTATAATTAAAAATAACGGGGGGAACGTTTTATATATGTATATCGATGTGTTCTTGATTCGAGGCGAGACTCGATGACTATGCAACGAGAGAGCCCTGTTTATCATGTATCGGGAAGGAGTGAGCGCGCTTAAATGAGCAAGCCTTTTATCGGCGCTGTCGCTGCCGATGAACGATCGCGGGAGGCTTTCGGCGGCGGCGTTGATCCGGCCTCGACGTTCCTTAATCTTGGATCTCGTCGCTAAATTCGTTCTCCTTTTTCCTTTTCGTTCACGTCTTTCGGGGGCATTCTCGTGGTAAGATTTTTCACAACGTCGATCTTCCGCTCGTGTATTATTTCCTTAGGTTCTTCTGCTCGAGGCGAGAAGTCAGGTGGAAATTTTCATTCCGCTGCTGAATGTTCGGGGGGGCAAATGTTGCGTTTTCGTACACGTTCGGAACCTCCGGGATTAGAACCAGCAGCTGCGGCGTATGGTCTCTCTGGCCTTAAATAGAGAAAACCGCGCGGTCGAAGTAATTGAAAGATGAATATAATTACGGAGTAGAGGCGGGGGAGAGTTTGTAAATTAATGTTGTCGCGGTTACGCGGCTAGATCTATGTATTCCGTTTAGCCAGCAATCGTTTCTACGTTGAGAAACCGGTTTCAAATCAAATGCTGTAACGAGATTACGCGGGGCACGTGTGTAAATATTTGTATAGTTAATTCGTAAGGAAGTCTCGAATGGCACGCGGAGATAGGAGAGTGTCGAGCCACGAGGAGAGATTGTACACGCGTTAAATAATAGGAGACCAATTTTTTCATTCAGGCTCACTGAACGTCGACGGCTGCCAACGTCGAACTATGAATTAATTGTTAAATTGAACCAAAGATGAGATGTCTTGGTGTAAGAGAGGACCGGATGGAATTAACTATGTGTACGATTAAGAAAATGAAATAAGAAGAGATACAAAGGAGAATAAGTATTCCAGACGAGAGATAGAAGACGAGAGAGAGAGAAGGTATTTACATTGTTGTATATTATTTTAGGTAAGTAGCGTTTAAAATGAAACTAGCGGCGCGCGCGTGCGTGCGCGTGTATATAGTGATTGTAAAATGCATAGGCCGTCGTGCACCGATGGCTATGTATAACGAATTATACAGTGACGCTGTTAGAGATATATTTATTATTCGTTGATATATTTTTATAAAGTTTTATTTAGCCATAAGTTCTCGTTCGCCTTCCCCCTGGTACTACGTCGCTTGTTACCGATCGACGAAGCTTGTGAATCTTCTCCGATCGAGAGTCACCGGCGACGAACGATTTCAGTTTCGAGCGGAGTGCGTGTGTGTGTATGTCTCCAACGAAGATTGTAACGATAGAAATAAAAACGAAGCTCCTCCTGTTCCCCGGTCGACGTCCCGCAATTACACGTTCCACGATGCTCGTGCTGTAATCAAAGGAAACGAGAGACGAACAGAAGATGAAAGATATGAATGTGCAATATCGCTGTTCTCCGTGATGATCGTTCATTTTTTTTATCTCTCCGCGGCCGTCAGGTAAGAACGCAAGAGCGTCTCTCTTCGATCGTTCGTTCGAACGATCAAGATGAAGAGAGAAACGGTGTTGTTGCGTGCACACGTTTGTAAGCGCAGTGGTTCCTAATTTTCCCAGTGCCACCCGACTGCGATGCGTTTCGTAGCTTCGTACGTTCGTTTACGCCTAAATGCGAAAGGTCTACGGGCCCCGTCAACGATTCGTAGACGCGAGAACTAAATTACCACCGGTTCCTTTTTCTCATGATTTCGAGTTTTCATTCAACGAGGAAGAGAACGAAATACCCTTTTCTGTAATCCTATTTTCGTTTCGTTTTTATCGAATTGCTTAGGTGTTATAAATTAAGCAACGTGATGTAATCGTTGTACCCCATGACGCCTAAAAGTCCAATAAATGATATTTACAATACGCCACGATATTTTGCATGAATAAAATATCGCTTTTGATATCGGTTTACTTTTAAGATCGCAAAATGTTTCTCCTCGTTCTCGAGGAAATGAAAGGAAACTCGGGGGTTGCGATGATGCTAATAGCAGGGAAACCTCGACGAGCAAAAACGTACGTGTGTATTCCTTATTTCGCTTGGAACGCGGTGGGGCTTCGACGGGACGAAGAAGCTGTAGAAAAGAAAGAACGTCGGAAATACGCGCCTCGCCCGTTTCTTTCGCTCCATAAAAGTAAGTCACGGCATTTGCCTCTTGAAATATCCACGAAACGGCTTTCGACCCTCGCGTGTCCACCAAGTATCAACATTTCAAGGAGCGAAGCCAGAAGCTGTACTCGAGCGAACGCGACTCCGAACGTCGAGCCATTACGTCGTTATAATTTAAGAGAGGCAAAACTGTCGGTTCTCGACCGGAACGGGAATCTATCGGCTGTTCCGATTCCGAATTCTATGACAGCCGACAAACGGTGATCGGACATCGATGAGAGTCCGTCGACAAAATTGCCACGTAGAAATTAAGATTCGACGTTTTCCCGGACAGATTAAAATCTCTGCCGGGGAAAATTATGTTCGGGATTTTCGATGTTGAATCAGCGCATTCCCGTTCCCAGCTTTAATCTCGCCCGGCTACAGGAGCGAGAGCCGATCCTCCTAATACATAATGGATCCCCAAGGCCTAAGGGTGAAGGTTCGTCCAATCGGATTAATGGCGTCGGCAGCACTTTTCCCAGCTAAATAATGCTACCGGGGATTCGATGCATGCCGCCGACCCCTTCGTGACCCGTTTTCTCCTCCGGGTACACACGGTCGGCCCGCCCGTTCTCGAACACGTACACATCATCCGGCAATATCTTGAATTGCCCGTGATCGAGCATCCTGCGACCACCGCCACTCTCTCCCCGTAGCACTCGTTCGACGCTCCTATGTTAAATCTCCTCCTTTTTCCACGAAACGTTCCAAGAGGTAGAAAATAATAGAAAGTAAAAATACATATGTAGATGGAACTCGTATTTATTCTCTCGTCTGCTAGAATCGAAACGAAATCTCTTTGCGAAATAAAACGTATATCGTTAATATTCTTATCCAGCGATACTCGACTCCCATTCTTCTCCTTCGTCTTAAATACGTTTATTCGGACAAGAGAAATTCGTTCTCGCAGACGGGGGCGTCTTCGGTATTCTTTCCTCTTATTATAAGATTAAAAAAAAGGAGACGATTCAGCAAGATAGGGGATGGTACCCCGGGGACGTCTCTTCCTTAAGAAAACAAGTAACTATCTATTTTCGTAACAGCATTACTAACATTTATCTCGAGACTGCCGTTTCGCAGTTCCGCGGCAAAATCAAGTTCATCCACGGCAGACAATTAACAAGGGCCCCGGGATCTCTTCGGTGTAGCTATTTCACGGGGGAGCAGAAGGGTGGCTCGAGTCGAATAACGCCTACGCGAAGCCAGTAAATTACTCTTAACTTCTCCGAGGGTAAAAATTACGGAGTTGTAAGGCCAGAAACCGGGAGGAGGGCTTAAAACGGCACTGCGCCGCCCACCCCCCGACCCCATGAGGAACCATAATTCTCTCGCTATCTACACAGAAACTGCTCCTTCTTGCCCGCTCTCGAGGCTCGCGGGAGATCGCTCGTCATTTATTTATTTTTCCCCGTATCCGCTGGGACACGCGGCCATCAGAGAAATCCGCGAAAAATAGACCTAACGAGGGAACCGTCCTCGTCCCGATGAAATTCCGCAGATAATTCTCACATAAATGTTTCACGCGTAATCCCTTTGATCTGCGATCGTTCACGCTGGACCGATGAAATCTATGCTTAAGGATGTATTGGCTATACAGTCAATCCCAAACGTTTATGCACTTTAGAAACGCATTTTTTAAAAAGAAATTAGACGTCGGAAGAACATTGCTAATAATAAA